TACAGTGTCCCATTTGGGGCAAAAACCTTTCACAAATAAATCAGCGCTGCTTTTTTAAAACATGTCTTGCCCATTTTTGAACTCGAGGTTGGGCTCTGGAGGGTTCATTTGTGGATTACAAGAATTTGTACTTTAAAATTGGTTATGTCTTCTTATTCAGTGATCCAACTTCCCTAAATTCCTTTGTAGTGAGGTGTGCCCTTAGCTCTTTTTGATCAATGGTGTATTTGTTTCCAAATATGGCATTGCTCCATCATCAGGGTTTCGTTCAATTGCTTTTTTTGGTACGGGGGTGGGGGTGGATCAAACTCACAACCTTGAGCTTGCCAGGCAGGCGCTTATGCCTCTGAGCTAAATCCCCAGCCATGAGGATTTCTTACTAGGGAACCATTTTTCCCTTGAGGATTGAATTCCCTGAGGGTTGAATAAATGATCCTATGAAGTAACAGGAAAACATTTCTCCAAATTTATTATGCACATGAGTAATCACATGAAGGAAAAGTGAATGCTCAGAAGCCCAGGGAGATCTCATACACCCTCTGCACAAGAGACAGAGAAAGAGCATTGGTTATTTAGGGTGGAAAAGTGATTTTTGGAAAGATAAACAGGCTCTTAGAAGTATAAGTTATATAACCTGTGATGAAGTCTGTCTGGGTGTGATTTGACCTCCTACCTCTCTAGTGATAGTAATGAGATTCCAAAAAGGTGATGAGCACTAAGTTGTACCTTTGTGGAAATTCAGACAAAGTTTCTCCTTTTGTTCTCTTTTTCCATAGATGCTCTCAGTCTGAGGCCCAAGGTGTCATTTTGGGGTTGCATTTCCTTAAGTCTTTCAGTTTCTATAAATGTTGAGAATGTCCCTTTCCTTGCCCTTTTCCCCTTTCTTTAGGATGAAATGTGAACTTGATGGTTGGTGCTAGAGCAGGCTTATTAGGCTACAAAGGGAAGTGATATAGTAAGAGTATCATGTGAGAAATTCTCTTAATGCAAATAAACCTCTAAATACACTGTCAAGCAGGTTATTCCTGAGACCATGGACACAAAGGATCACAGACTGATTTAATGCTCCTAAGTTGTATGGCTTTTGCACATTTTTATTGAATCAATTTTGAACATATAGCAGTGTTACCGGCAGCTGAGCTAGTAGGAAATATAGGCAGTCAGACAAGGCTAGGGCCTTAAAGGAGCCAGAGCAAAAAGTTCAAGTACCTTGCAGCTTAGGAAGAGACAATCACCTCCTGCTGTGGGCCAAATCTCAGGACAAAAGGTAAAGTAAATAAACCCACACCCTAAGGATCCACAGTTCAAATAGTTCTCTATCACCCTGAGGAAGTCAGGAGTCAGCATCCCACCCCTCTACATGAAAAGGTCCTGCTGTTAAACATGCCCACTTACTACATGACTAGCTAGCCCATTTGCTCCTAATTTAATCAGTTTTACCTGAGCAATTAATCTTATTGGTTGACCACAGTTCTGTCCCGCCTTATGCTCAATTTGCAGATTCCCATTTTTCCCCACCTTTGATTCATCTAACCTCCTGATTTTACTCTATAAAAGTCCCTAGAACAGACATAGTCCCTGGCAACCAACTCAGAATGGATCCATTCATTCTTTAGACAGAAGCTTTCCTCCTCTTAATAAATATATTCTGCTTTTAATCTCCATTGTTCCTAAAATTTATTCTTCAATTTTAGAGAACATAGTAGGTTGGGAGTTTCATTCCCTTATATTAGCAGGAAACAAGGGAATGGGAATTTGGCAAGTTAATATATTTCAGATAAATTGCAAATGAGAGACAAGTACCTGAATCCTTGGCTAGGCCTGTCCTATGTGCAATCTTCCCTTTCCCTCAATATATTTTTCCTGATGAGAGTGTGGTGGGTTTTTTTGTTTTTTGTCTTTTTGGGACAGGGTTTCACTGTGCACACGGTTCAGGTTGGCCTTGAACTCATTTTGTAACCCAGGCTGGCCTCAAACTCACAGCAATCCTCCTGCCTCAGCTTCCAGAATGCTAGGATTACAGACATGTGTTATCACGCCAGATGAAAAGGTGGTTTTGAGAGCTGGAGTTGATAGTGAGAAAAGGGCTTAGAAAATGGGCATTATTTGGAACAAACACACATTTGACATGTTGAAGGAATGTAGGGAGAAATACAAGTCACAGGTATTATTTAACAGTGATAAACTGAGCAGTCATGTGCAAACTGGAGCCAAAATGTGTCTGAAGACCTTAAAATGCTGCATGAATGTGTGATATGTCATGCATGTTTGTTGTTTCTCATGTTTTCTTGTTTCTGTGTAGTACATACAAACTCTTCCTGGCTTTCTCTTAAGTATCTCACAGGCCACTAATTTATGACTATATAAATACAGTTTTTAATTTTTGTATGCACCTTACCTTGTTTGCCTACCTAAAATGTCTAAGTTGCCTTGTTTGTTTGAATCCGTTATAAAATCATGTGTTTTGTCTATCCCACTTCTTATGCTTGCCTTTCCTAGCAGAGTTGAATAGTAGAATATGTCTGAAAAAATCACGCAAGAAGACAGATGTCTATTGTACATAGCAGTGGAATTCCCTAAGGGCATCAGAATTCCATTGCAGGGTTGAGCTACAGAGAAATACGTCCTATAAATCACACTTTTATGATTTTTAAACTGTTGATTGTTTTCCACTGAGTGCCACTTTCAGGGATCTCTGATACTCATATAGGTGCACAGTAAGAAAAAAACTATGTTATTTAAAAATGAAGGACAAGATTAACTATCATTATTGTCTTATTTTCTCCATGCTACTAAGGTAGGGAACTAGGTGATAGAACTGTGGGGGACCGGCAGCAGCTGAAAAGATAAGTATGAAATATAAATGACCTTTATTTTGAGAATGTGGGGAGAGGCCCCCCCCATCCCCTGGGGCGCGGCATCACCCCCCCCCCCTTTAGGCGATCTCTCCGTGCAACATGTGGAGTGGAGGCATACATGTAGCTTAAGGTTAGGGGTGGTGCCTGAGGGGCATTAGGGATGTACAGGCAGCCCATTGGTATTCTTTTGGCGCTATAGGTAAATTCCTAGGGGTGGGAAAGATAGAGCCATAGGTAAATCCCTAGGGGTGGGGGAGATAGGAGCTCCTTGGATCCCGCTAAGGCTTTTCCAGCTACAGTGTCCGGCCTGGGCCAAAACTCTTTCAGCTAGGATTTTTACGAATTCTTGTATCTGGCTAGTGATGAGACAAGGAGATGAGTATAAATGTCCTTTTCTCCCTTTCCTTTGTAGGACTGAGGATTGAACCCAGGGATTTAGAGCTGAGCTACGTCCCCAGTCTTTTCTAAAATTTAGTTTGAGACATGTTATTGAAAGAGTTGCTGGTCCAGACCGAACACTTTAACCAGGAGAAGCCTCAGCCAAATTAAGGAGCTCCTGCCTCCCCCGCCCCTTAGAGATTTACCTGTAACCCTATACCCCCATCCCTAAGAACCTGCCTCTGGCGCCAAATGTGTGCCAGTGGGCTACCTGTGCATCCCTAATGCCCCTTGGGGTCCACCCCAGACAGAGGCTACTTATGGGCCTCACTCCACGTGTTAGAGTGTGTGTGTGTGTTTCAGAGAGAGACCGCTGGCTCGGGGGTGGAGACGCTGCGCCCCGAGGGCGCGCGGGGGGGGGGGTGTCTCTCCCCTCATTCCCGAAATAAAGGTTACTTATATTTTATACTTCTTATCTTTGCAGCCACCGCCGCCCACTCCTTTCACGGCCGTCCACTCTTTCCACTCTTTCTCCTTCCTTCTCCACTCCATTCCTTCCTTCCTTCCTTCCTTCCTTCCTTCCTTCCTTCCTTCCTTCCTTCCTTCCTTCCTTTCTTCTTTTCTTCCTTCCCCATCCCCCCCTTCTCAGACCTAACAGTTATTACATTATCCAGGCTGGGTTGAAATTTGTGACCCTTCTGCCACAGCCTCCCAGAATGCTGGGATTACAAGCCACCATATTTTTAGCTACATGCTACATGCATATTGAGCTTTGCCAGCTGTAGCTTGCTGGCTCTCTTCGTGTAGAAGTGCGATGTGCTAACCTATTGTGCCACCAGAGCTCCAGACTTTCCTTTTCCTAAAAAGGATGAGTCATTTGCATCTTTGACTCTATCTTAGTTGCTCCTCTTCCTTTTTAATCTTTCCTGCTCCATTTTTCTTGCAAAATTGTTTTCAGGTGATTTGAAAATTTTTAAGATTTTCATTTCAGTATTTGGTGATTTAAATTTAGCTCCAACAAAAGTCAGTTGAAACTAGGCTTGCTAGAAATTAACACATGCCTATAATCCCTGAACTCGGGGAGACTGAGGCAGGAGGACTACAAATTCCAGCCCAGTGAGGGATGAGGAAATCAGTGAAAGAACTCAGTGCAAAGGTCTTGGGTTTCACCTCAGTGTCATGTTTTGTTTTTAATTTAATTTTTTAAACATGACTTTCACACTGATGCTTTGCCCTTCATTTAGTTGTTAAGATTATTATTTAAATATTCATTTTAGATTGCAGTTGCTGAAAAGACTGAGAACAAATCTGAGCCCTTGCTCAATTGGCTATAATCATTTTCTGGCAATTTATTAAAAGAGTCTTATAATTGTAAATATGCAACAATTTTACAGCTCAGAAGCACCGCTCACTGCCATTAAGATTTAAAGTTGTTAAGATTAAACCATCAAAGGAATAAGACCTAAATCTTTAGGACTCCACAGAGGAGATAATATAACTTTGATAAGCAGCAGTCAATACACACAAGCTGGCCTAGTCTCCTGTTTGCTCATAAGCTCTTTGTACCTTTTACTTCGTGGTTCACTGACTCTTTGTCAGTTACTTGCATTTAGCTGGCTTTTAAAAATCACCAATTTTCTGTGTCACATAGTTAAGCAGTACAGCAGTCTTCCAGTAGCTTTTTTTTTTTTTTTTTTTTTTTTTTTTTTTTTTTTTTTTTTAGAAATGACACTTTTGACATATGGGTTATGATAATAATAATTGCTTTAATTACTTTTCAGGGATTTGAGGGCCATTTTTTTAGAAGTCACTGATTTCCTGAGGACCTGCACAGGATTCTGAAGGGAAACGTTTGCACATTAAGTGACTAAAAACTCCACCCTCAGATGATCATACTAAAGTCACTGTCTGAACATGCATCCTATGCAGAACAAAGAGTTTTGCTACTCATGCACAAATCAGAGCCCTTCATCTTGAGTCACCTTTTTGCACTCTTCAGATCACCCTATCCTTCTGAATCCCATAAATATCTCTAAATCCTATTCTTGGGATCAGTTATGCAGATGTGAGGCCTAGCTCTTATAGCTTTAGGCTTGGTTCCTTTGGAAATACCCTTTTTTTTGCTCATTTTTTGCTTGGCTGAATACTGTGCTGTGGCCAAAATAGGCCTGCTTAAATAATGGGATAATTTCTACACTCAGAGGCCTTTGTCTATTAAACAAAATTGGTTACACTCAAGAGCCCCAGTCCATTCACTTAATTTTTCATCTGGGGAGGAGTCTTAGGCATGTTTCTGATTTAAGACTCACTTCTTTTGCTGCACCTCCAAGCTTTGATGGAGTGATCTACATTTGTGTGCAGTAACCAAAGGGCTCTGGTAGCTTACTGTTACGTCCTCTAATCTCCGTGCTTTGCAAATCCATAGTAGTTTCAAGACAACTATCATAGCCTCTTGGCTGGCTGCAAGGATAAGAGTATGAACATTACCTAAGATTAAATATTACCTAAGTTTAAAAAGGCATGTTACTCCCAGGCTGTTTATTTTCTCTTTTTTTTCTCCTTACAAATCCTACCTAGCCTTTCTCAGATATATCTACAACTTTATATCTGTATTTCTTGGAGACAAAAGGTTCAGTTTATAATGATAGGTTTATTTGCCCTTCAATAACTTCCTGTAACCATATGGCTACCAGGAAACATATTCACATTAGGTTATACACCATTTTCAACTAGTTTTTTTTTTAAGACTCATATGAAGTTATTGTGCTGTTTAGGAGAGCTTATGTATTTTCAGCCTATTCTGAGAACTCTAATTTGCCAATTCCAGAACTGAGTGAAATTGTTAGTTCATTAAGTCAATTTACAACTCAGGCCACAGTGATGCTGACCAAAACAAGTGTTCACATGAGAAGGCCATTACCAGATTGCTAAGATGGACATGAACATTTTAACTCCAGTATAACGTGCTTTAAAATGAACTATTACTGGGAATCCAGCTCCTTGATGCATGAAGGAAATGGATCCGTATTTAAAAAATATTTTTATTAGTACATGATTGCAGTATATCATGGTTGCAATCATTGTGGGGAATTGGTATGTGTACTTAAGACATCTCGCTTTTTTTTCTTTACTCCTCCCTCATCAAATTCATTTATCTTATAAACCTAATACAGTTATTATATATGAAAATTTAGTCAGACTAATAGACCAAAATCCATATAAACTACACAAGACAGTTATACTACATGAAAGAACACTTTTAGATACATTGTTCATGTTGGATTACAAAAAGTTTTCTGTTTCCCTCTGGTTTTTCTTATTTTGCATTTTATATATGTATATGTTGAGTTTTCACATAAAAGAAGCTATATTTGAGTTTGTTTCTTTACTTAACATTACGATTTTGAGGAGCATCCATTTTCCCTATGAATGACTCCTTTATCCTTCTTTATGGTAGAGTAGTACTGCATTGTGTTTAAATACATTTTAAAAAATCCATTTATCTGTTAATGTACATAGAGGCTGTGTCTAAGATTTACCTATTATAAAAGTTGTGCAAATGTGGGTATGCAAACATTACTGTGGCATGATTTTTTCTTTTTTTAAAAAACTTTTTGGAGACAGTACTTAGACGAGAAATAGCTGGATCAAATGAGATTTTTGTTTCAGTTTCTGAGGACTTTCCATACCTATTTTCATTGTGGTTTTACCAGTCCCAACAATAGTGTTCATTAAGTCATTCCCCTAAATGCCCTACAGTCTCTCCAGCATTTGTTACTTGTTGATATCTTGAAGTCATTCTTTCTGGGGTAAGCTGATATCTCAGTGTTGCTTACTTTGCATTACTGGAATGGTCAGGAATTTTGAATATTTTTCATGTATTTATTGGCCATTTGTACTTCTTCGTCTGAGAAGTTTCTATTCATTTCAGATGCTCAATTTTGGATAATTTTGCTGTGGGGGATACTGCTGCTTGTTTTGATTTTTTAAAAAAATGTATTCTAGCTATTAGTGGTTTGTCTGAAGAGTAGCTGCAAAAAGTTTTCCCATTCTGTAAATGGTTTCCTTTGCTATGCAAAAGCGTTTTAAATTGATGTGTGGATCCTCTCCTTGATCTTCAGGTTTGAGGCCTTGATAGAATTCCATCAAGACACCCAGACCATGTGGAAGTATGGGTAGAATACTCTCTTTTATCTTAAAGTGAAAAGTCAGGCAGTGTTACCAAGGCATCTACACTGAGTGTCAGTTTGAAAAACTTTGTATGTGTATTTTAAGTTATTTCTAGAGTTCAGGGAATGATGGAGGCTATGAGGCTGCTTAACATTTCCCTTAAGGGCTACTTTGAAATTTTGGTATCTCAAAAATGTCTTGCTTTTAGGTGACCAGCATTCTGCTAAGAAAGATTATAATGCTTACTCATTTTAAATTAACTAGTTTCTCAGGCCTGCTTGTGTTTACTTAGCTAACAAAGCCATAGCAACACTTAGTATTAAAGCTCCTAATTGAGATTGTGGGTGGCTCTGAAAAGAGCCTTTGGGTGGGTTGTAGGCAGCAGCCAGGCACACTCACTTGGAGCTGGTGTACTTGGTGACGGCCTTGGTGCCCTCTGACACAGCATGCTTGGCTAGCTCTCCTGGCAGCAGCAGTCGGACGGCCGTCTGGATCTCCCGCGACGTGATGGTGGAGCGTTTGTTGTAGTGCGCCAGGCGCGACGCCTCGCCGGCGATGCGTTCGAAGATGTCGTTGACGAAAGAGTTCATAATGCCCATGGCCTTGGACGAGATGCCCGTGTCGGGATGCACCTGCTTGAGCACCTTGTACACGTAGACCGAGTAGCTCTCTTTTCGGCTGCGCTTGCGCTTCTTGCCATCCTTCTTCTGTGCCTTGGTGACGGCTTTCTTGGAGCCCTTCTTAGGGGCCTGAGTTGATTTCGCTGGGTCAGGCATGACTAGTGCAAAAGAAAAGCCAAAGGGTATAAAATGTTGAACAACTCCGGGCTAACTTTGTAGCCTTTCTATGCAAATAAGGCATAAAGTTCCTACAATTTTGATTGGACCAGACTAGCCAATAGAAGCGTCATGCAAATAAGGGGAATTGCAATCTACTTTTTGATTGGCTATTTATGTGGAAGTACCCTAATTGGTTTTTTTTAAAACATAAGGAAAAAAAACAAACAAACAAACAAAAAAAAAAACCAAAAAAACCACACACACACTAGCAGTTTTTATTTCAAAAGTTTTAAGTATTAGGTTGTCTTTGTTATGCACTGTCCCAGTAGATCTTTATAAAAAGATATAAATTTTATGGCTCCAGTGTCACGCTGTTACTACTTTTACAACTAGAAGTTGGAAGTTAAATTTTTCCAAAATTTGGGCATAAGCAAAATTCTTACGCAGTGTTATCAACGTCAGCAATAACTTAAAGCTTTTTGAAGAATTACAGAATTTGAACATCTTAACAGTGGTGAGATTTTAATATTGTGTTTTTCAAAAGCATCTTACTTCCATGCCAGTGAAAATCCTCGTACTATTGTTGGGTTAAGAGAGCCTTGAAATCAAATAAAGTGTAGGAAAAAAAAAAAATCCTCGTACTAATGCTGGGTAAGAGACCATTGAAATAAAAAAATTCTAGGAAAAATAAAAAAAAAATTAGCTGGAGGAACGACAGTCAAATGCAGTTTCTGAAACTTGCCAGATATTGCGGAACGTTCATTTCCGTGTTTTCCCATTTATTCTCAAATTTGTGGCTATAGATACTTTCAGCTTCACAATATGTATGACAGACCGGAACCAAAGATGGGATTTACAGAAAAAAATCGTGATAGGTCGAAATTTTCAATTTGAAAACTGCCAACCAATCACAGGGCTCGAGGTGTTTTTGTTATTTCTGGCGCGGAATTTGAGAGCCTTGACCAATCAGTAGGACTTTGACCTTATAAATATAAGGAAAGACAAGTGCTTATTTTTATTCTTACCATGGCTCGCACAAAGCAGACCGCGCGTAAGTCTACTGGTGGCAAGGCTCCGCGCAAGCAGCTAGCTACCAAAGCTGCTCGTAAGAGCGCCCCGGCCACCGGCGGAGTGAAGAAGCCGCACCGCTACCGTCCGGGCACTGTGGCCCTGCGCGAGATCCGGCGCTACCAGAAGTCCACCGAGCTGCTCATACGCAAGCTGCCGTTCCAGCGGCTGGTGCGCGAGATCGCACAGGACTTCAAAACCGATCTGCGTTTCCAGAGCTCGGCGGTCATGGCGCTGCAGGAGGCGTCGGAGGCCTACCTTGTAGGTCTTTTCGAGGACACCAACCTGTGTGCCATCCACGCCAAGCGGGTCACCATCATGCCGAAAGACATCCAGCTCGCACGCCGGATTCGTGGGGAGAGGGCATAGACTTACAGAAAGTCAGATAACTGTAAACCCAAAGGCTCTTTTCAGAGCCACCTACAACTTCACTGAAAGTGCTGTCCTCCCAATGTCTCAACTGGTGTTTGCAGGGTACTTATATTGTATTTTTCTGCCCACACTTAAAGTACCTTATGGTTTGAAGCACGCTTAGTGCTTAGCTGGCCAAAGCTGTTGTGGTCAGTTTTACTGATGCATGGACCTTTAAGCGTCTCATTTTCTACCATGGGAAGTAAATGCAGATAATACTGTTAAGTATGCTTTGAAGATCGTTCATCCGCAAAGCCTGTAGGCGTACTTTATGGAGCAGCCAAGGTTTTGGTCAAGTTTTGCGAAACTTAACCAGTTTTCCTGGGCACTCCCAGAAGCATTAATGTATGATCTGACATGGCCAACAATAAGTATTCAGTACCCATTTAATACCGACCTGTAATTTCTTGAGGTAACTGGCAAAATGTAGCTGTAGTTATAAATGTCCCACGTCCACATTCTCTGCTGTTATATTCAAACAGAATAGGTAAAATAAATTGGAAACCCAATTCTATTTTGCTCAGTTTCTTTAGCAGAGTGAATGGAAATTCAAGTAAGGTAACATTTCCAACTTTAAAAACCGCTGCTTACAGATTCCAAGCTCAAAGCCTGGTTTTTATACCCTCTGTGTTGCTTGAAAATGACCTTTTAAAATTGAATTTGGGTAAGTCACATAGTAGAAATACCCCAAATGTATATAATACAACGAATAAAACTTTAACCACTGAACAATCAGGCTAATTTCCTCTTGTGATAATACCGTCACTTGTTTAGAGCCTTTAAAAATAGTTTCCCATCCTGTTTTAGACCTTGCCAAAGCTTGCTAGAGAAGCGGTTACCAAATGAGTTTTCCCGCCAGTTTTTTCTTTCAGTCTTCAATTAGGTCCGATTCTTCGTTTTTATGAGCAGACATAGCACACAGGCACTCAATAGGCATCAGTAAAGCTTTTGTGAATTTAGTATTGTCCAGTAATCAACTCACAATGTCTGGACGTGGCAAGGGAGGCAAAGGTCTTGGCAAAGGCGGTGCCAAGCGCCACCGCAAGGTGCTGCGCGACAACATCCAGGGCATCACCAAGCCTGCCATCCGCCGCCTGGCCCGCCGCGGTGGCGTCAAACGCATCTCCGGTCTCATCTATGAGGAGACTAGAGGCGTTCTCAAGGTCTTCCTGGAGAACGTGATCCGCGATGCTGTCACCTACACGGAGCACGCCAAACGCAAGACAGTCACTGCCATGGATGTGGTCTACGCGCTCAAGCGCCAGGGACGCACCCTCTATGGTTTTGGGGGCTAATTGTGTTTTTTGATATCTATGCATATCTAAAGGTCCTTTTTAGGGCCACCTCCTTTATCTGTTAAGGAGCTCAAACACTTGATCCTTATGAGACGGGATTCTGGGTGCTTTGTTGGTATTCAGACAGAAACTAACTAACCTAACCTAACCTACCCTAAACTAAAGCTAACCTAATGCTGTTTGTGGAATTTGGACCCTGATGTCTGTGAATACATAGGTTTCATAGACAATGTGAAGGGATGTGTGTTTTTATTTGTTGCCTGGCCAAGTCGCTATGATTTAAACATTTGGACTACTACTTTGAAGCTGCTGGCAGCTTAAAAGCTTTGTTGTTGGTCACCAGGCTTAAGTATGTTTGTTTAGTAACACTTTTAAAGCTTTACTCTGTAGAGTGTATTTTTTTCTTCTGTTCTTGCCATTCATTAAAATGCTTGTTCAAGTACTCTCAGAATAAAACCGTGCTAAAATATTCTCATATGTGGCTATTTGCCAAGAACCAAGTGTGCTTTCATTTTATGTAGATAGTGTCTCTATAGTTCAGGTTGGCTTTGCAGTAAATAGCCCGGTGTCACACTGGTGGGGATTCCTTTATTTGTCAACTGAGTGCTGGGATTACAGGCATGCACCTGTCTCAGTCTTCCTGTCTCAGTCTGAATGCTGAGATTATAGGCATGCACCACCACATCTGGAGCAGGACTCATGCATATTTTTTGCAGTGGGAGAGTGGGCTTTTGTGTTAGCTGCATCATTTCATTTAATATTAAAAGAAAGCTGTCCCTGAATTTGCATTTGTAGGTGTGTATTTAAAATTAAAAAATATTTTGACAAAGCAGTATTTGGGACTTAATCATACTTCAATGCGTTTTTAGAGTATGAGGATTACATTCTGTTAAACATGAAATGGAAAAAAATCCAGAAACTTGCATATTATATATAATTGTCTTTGTAGTGATTTAAAAAAATTTATTAGTTTTTTATTGCTGAGGGTCGTATTCCGGTTCTTTAAACTTATCTACACACCTAGCCTTTTATGCTTTAAAATAAAATATATGTAAATGTTAATTCCCAAATTTATTGCATTCTGTCTCTAAAAATAAAAAAGAAAACACATGTGGACATGTGGGAGTTGGAAGGTAGATCAGGTTTTAGGCCATCTTAGGGACTTTTGTTTTTTTAAGATTTGATGTAATTGAATTATGAGAATTTCTCTTCATTGGAGTTGCACGTTGAAGTATTTCAGGCATAAGTTCCATGATGAGCCATTTGTGATTTACATAGAGATAGAAACAGAAAAATGGTAGTATTGGGTTTAAGTGCTAGGTGATCAATAAACTCAGCTTCTATCTTGTTGAATTTTTTACAATAACAATTTTGAAAAAAGAAACTACACAGATAACAATGTGTGTTTGAGAATCTGTGCTCTCATAAGATAGACTTTATCTAGGAAAATTTCAAAGACCTATTTGCCTGCAGAGAGGAGACAGAAGTAGCAGGACACCCTGTTCCCTGATTCATGTTATAAGTGTATTATTCCACTTACTCCTTAATCAAAAGTTAGTCAGAATGAGGGGTTATGGGGACAGAATATTTGAGCCAATTTGGCAAATGTACAAAGGACAGTAAATAGTTTAATGCAGTGCAAAATAGAAACAGAGATATGCAGCACAGGGAGATGTGGCATTAGGCTGTGGAAGAAGGGCCTTGTGAATGGAGCAATTGGGAACCTGATGTACTCTCTATTCTAGCAGAGTGTGACATGAGGAATTAGTGTCAGTCAAATGGTAGCAAAGATGAATGAGTCATAGATTAATTTATTGTCTTTTGTGGGTAAGACACCAGTCTTCACAGACCCTGACACAGAGAAGACAGCAGAAAGAGACCAATAGTATGCTTTTCTAAGCTAACCCTAACTAGCTGTCTGCCTGGAATCATGGCATATTACAATCAGAAAAAATGACATCTTTTTAAATTTTAGAGTCTATTTTGTTCTAGGACCTTCCTGTATAGTTTTTAGGCTCTTGTTGGAAATGAAATCAATTTCATCCCCATGCCATACGTTGTAGTCAGGGGTTGTGAGAACAATGAGAATCAGGACACAGAATTTATAATATTATTTTATGATGGCCACCTAGAATTAATACAAGAAAGTGCAAGAAACCTATCCACAACACTAAAGACATAAAATATTCAGCTATGGGCCTGAACCCCAAAGCAATGTCCTGAATGAGTCCAGATGAAAACCTAGAGCCCATGATAATGCCTCCACATGTCCAACTGGAGGTATAGAGCTCAAAAGAAGGACTCACACCAGTCTCTTTTATGGATCTGTGCTGGGAAGGCCTGAAGGTCAGTGGTGGGAACTAGAAAGTCTATGCCAGCAGGGTGAAAGAGCTGTGCTGATAGCTTGAGAGTTCTATGCTGGAGCTGAGAGGTCAATGCTCATAATAAAGACAGGGCTGTCCTGAAAAGCACCACACGCATCCTCAGCAACACAGAGGCCCCAAACTCCTCCAAAATAAAAGTACATGGCAGAAAGCCAGCATGATGAGTTTGTCCTGCGGATTAAATGGCACACGTCTTCCCCTCCGGAGACAGGAAGTAATGCTCAATGTAAGTAACAGAGCTCTCCCAAAGTGAACCACAGCCACTCTCACCAGCAAGGTCCCAAGCTCTTCTAATGACAGTGGTCGAACTCACACAGGGGAAGCTAGTCATGATGAGCTCCTCAAGGAGAACCAATGGCTCAAACAGCAACATGTAGGAGAACCCACAGCACCTCACTTCTCCTTCTCCACATCTCTATACTGGCAAATTCCCAAAAGTGGACCATCTATGCTCTGCACCATGCTTATTTAATTCAGCTGGTGTTAAATTGACCATCAGTTTTTAAATCCGTAACACCATAGAATTTATATTAATTCTAAATATTGTATCTAGAATCATAGACCCAGAGAACTGACTTCAGACTTCAACAACTACAGAGAGAGATGAAGTGGCTTGTTTAAAATGGTCTCCCCTGCCCCGTACCAGGGATTAAACTCAGGATCTCCAATTTGCTAGGCAGATGCTTGTGCTGTTGAGGTAAACCCCTGGCCCTAAGATCATCTTTTCATTTACGATGAAAAGTTCCAGTTTTCTTCTAAAAATCTTAACTGGTGGGGGCTGGGGATTTAACTCAGAGGCATAAGCAATGCCTTGCAAGTGTGTGGTTGTGAGTTTGATCCCCGGTACCGATAAAAAAGAAAAAGACAAAAGAAAAAATACCTTAACTGATAACCATACATTTGCTGGCTAATTATGGTTAGATTCAATCAGATTAACAATTAAAAATATGTATTTCTCCAAGGTTTATGGTTTTGCCCTCAACTGCCATGCTACACTGATACTATTCATCAAATACTTGATCATAATCTGATTATAACATTGTAGGTAGGAGAGTTTTATAAAAAAAAAAAAAAAAGAGTTGGGTCTCTACTTTTTTCTATTTTTACTTTGTAGACGTTTTTGTCTTATGTTCCCATGTGTGCTAGGTGCTACATGAGGCATTGGTATTGTAGAGATAATCTAGAAATGATCCAATCCACAGAAGTATTGTAGCAGACAGAAAAGAGATGCGTAGGAGTGGTTATTTCTATAGAAGTTTATTTTTATAGAAGAAAAAAAAATTAGTGAGTCATTGGGGAGTGGTTTGCCCTTCTAGAACTGGGTAGTCAGGGAACAAGGAATTGGTTTTAGAGTCAAGATGTTACATTGGAGAAGGGGTCAGAGAAAGGATGTTCTAGGATATAGGATCTGCAATAAGAAAGTCTTGAGAAGAGAAAACTTTTTCTGTGCGCTGTGGGAGTGAAAACCAATAGTTGTGGACTTCTCCATTTCCAAAGTGTACTACAATCTGTACTTTTCTCATTAGATCTCTGACTTCGATGTTTTACAAGGATTTTTGTGAATATTCTGAGTCCATTTAGATGATCTAGAACCATTTTCTAGCCTCCAAGATTTTTTCCTTTTTTTTTTTTTCTTGGTATTTACCATTGAATACAGGCTTTTCATACTAGGTTACATACTCCCTCTTTTTTTTTTTTTGTTTTGAGTCAAAAGCACTAAATTGCCTTGTCCATGTTGAACTTGTGATCCTATCAGAATATCCCAGAGTGTTGAGATTATAAACAGGTGCTATCATGCCCAGCTGTCCAAATTCTTAATTTCATTAAACATGAAATGTTCCTTGTTACATGTGAAGTCAACATTCACAAATTCTGGATTCTAATGTAGGCATGTTTGGAGGGGAAGAGACATGCTCTATATAGTTCTTACAGGCATAGAGACTTTTACTAACAAACATAAATCCTTAAGAGTACGCAATCCTCTACCAGATAATAGAACAACAGCAACAACAAATCTTTAAATGCATACATTACAAGACATGTTTGAAGTACACTGAAATGGGAATGGGACCAAGAGATGGAGGGAGGTGGAAAGGAGACCCCAAAACAATTAAGGTATGTTATGTACAAGTACCAACCTCCTTACGATGAATGTAATCATTATGTACTTAAAACACATGCCAATAAAAATTTAAAAATATAGAAGTAGTCTTGACAGAATTCCATAGATCTATACTTGATGAATAAAAATCCTATAAGATAAAAATCAAAGGATGTGCTGTGGAGCTGACCTTATATTGCCACTATTTAGACTGTTGAATCAAATATTGGGCAGTTTGAAGCCCTTACCACAGCCTGCACCAAAAACTGCTTTATCCTAAGAGATGAAGTGGATTTGAGGGTCTCTGCTCTCTTATCTTCTAAATTCTGAGGAGGTCTTATACATTAATTGTAGGTTGGTTAATTTTAGGCCATGCATATCTTTAAGAAAGGCTGAGAACTAGTGTTTGGAAATCTTGATTAGTGTAGTCATTTTCCCAACCTGGAAGTTTCACAAATTTATAATAGGAATGCATGGACCAGTATTTTTCAAATTATTTGTCCCACGAGTTTCAAGTGGGAGCAAAATAAATTCACAGACATTTAAGGAGTACTTTAGATAAAGTGCCATACAATAGAGCAGGATACAAAAATGATATTATCTAAGGAAGGACTCAAAAATTTTTGAGGAGACAATCATTAAACATCAACGATTGTGTTTGATAGCTGTTGTCACAAAAAACCTTGTTAGCCTATATAAGAACATGTGTGACCTGTACTCTGTACTCTGTACTTAAGGATTTGTGGGCTACTTGTGGACAAAACTGGACCTAAAGGATTACTATTAAAAGTTCCATTTGTCACAAGTTTAAGTACATTCAACTTTACAATCCACGACTGGTGGCAAGGATGTGGAGGCAATCAAGTGTTAGGTAAGCTCTAGAACCCGAGGCGCTGTTCTGTAAATATTGAGAAAACCAGTGGAATTTATTTGACACAGTGGAGTTTATTTTAACACAGATAACCATTTAAGACACACTCTGGATGGGGATATGCAGGACCAATGAAGTTAATAATGCAACAAATCATTGTAAAAATCACAAAGGTATGCAACCCAGAAAAGTAAAATGAAAAGAATCAATAGAAAATAAAACCTGGAGAAGTCAGAATAATTTTGTAAAAATGTTGAAATGTGAAGCGAGTAAAAAAGATCAGATGTAATCAATTAAATGTTTGGTTTTTGTATTTGACTGTCACTTGGCAAAGGTGGCAGGAATATTTTCAGTGAGTGGTTGGCCTTTAAATCATAATCAAAATGATACACATCCACAGATGTAGTGACTGGATTACTTGAGGCTTAAAGATTTGACAAAATGGGAAAAATATTAATGGGTTTGAATAGAAACGTATCAACTGTATTTACATGTGGCTATTTACATGTGGTGTGTGGATGTAGCTAGTTAATACCTGTAACCAGCTAATTTTCTAAGTTGCAAGGATATTTTTAGGATTGTGACAACTGTCTACACTTGTGCCTAAGTGATGTTAGTTAATAGCTTGTCTTTAGCCTTGAAAAGTTTTCATGGAAGACACAAAATGGAGCTTCCGATACCATTACCAGGGTTCAGGAACGAAAACAAGCTTTAAGTATTCTCGTACTTAACATGCCCTCCTAGGACTGCTAGGGCAACCTAAAGTGGCCACCCTACACCACGTGTGAAGTCAGATCCACCTGTTCAATTAATTTACGTTATAAATTCTTCGGCAAGGGTTTTTGTGAAACTGAAAGCACTAGCTGTTTTAAGTTGGGAGATGAAACACTGTATTTTACCCAGAAGCTAGTCATTGAGAACAAAATGCTTGGTTTCTTTGCACGGCTAAGGATCCCATCCATACGTAGCGCGCCAAAGCTTTGTTCAACACGCCGGCGTCGCCATGTTAGCGCCCAAAAAGGTGGAGTCAGGACAGCAGAGATGGGAGGGCCTCATCTTTAATTCCTCCCATGATCCTTCGTTTTTACAGTTTCCTCCCACTTTCAGCCCGCCTCCCAAGCCTTAAGTATGAAGGCTCAGAAAAGAACCGAGTATCGAAGACTACCAACAAAAACTTACTTCTTAGGGTAGATGCTCAGCCCTTAGTGTGATAAAGTGGTGGCCCTGAAAAGGGCCTTTGGTTGATGTTTTTTTGTTAGGAAACATCCGAGACTTAACCGCCGAAGCCGTAGAGCGTGCGTCCCTGGCGCTTGAGCGCGTAGACCACGTCCATGGCGGTGACCGTCTTGCGCTTGGCGTGCTCCGTGTAGGTGACGGCGTCGCGGATCACATTCTCCAGGAAGACCTTGAGCACGCCGCGGGTCTCCTCATAGATGAGACCGGAGATGCGTTTAACACCACCACGGCGGGCCAGGCGGCGGATGGCGGGCTTGGTGATGCCCTGGATGTTGTCGCGCAGCACCTTCCGGTGGCGCTTAGCACCGCCCTTGCCAAGGCCTTTGCCTCCCTTGCCACGTCCAGACATTCTCACTGAGCTCTGAGCGTGTTTCAGCAGTGAAGACCGGCGCTGCAGTCCTTTAAATACTCCTTCTGCGGACCTTTTTGGAAACTGCAACAGTGAGGCGGGAACAAATCTCTGTTCCCGCCTCTTTGTTCCCGCCTCCCCACCCTACTGGTGTACGTGCAGTTGCCTGAGAAGGAAAAGGGGCGGAGACTGGGGGATTTGAGACTAAGGCTATCAGCCTTTCTCATTGTTTTAAGGTGCTGCTTTCTGTTCCCTCAGGATAATAACAGTGGATTCTAGCGACTAATATGCATAACATTCCCACTTAATCTTATAATTTTCAAAAGAAAGTTCTATCAATACACTGGTCCATGACATACCAAAACAATGCTGATTTTTTTCAATCAGAAGATTCTTTAAAAATGTAAGAGGTGGGGTGTGGTGGTGCACACCTATAATCCCAGCACTGGGTAGATTTAGGCAACAAGAGGCAAAAAGATCGCTGTAAATTTGAGGTCAGCCTGTTGCTGCAAAGTGAGTTCAAGGCTGCATCGTGAAACCATATACATATATGTGTAAATAAGTAAATAAATATATATATATATACATTTATGTATACATATATATATACACACATATATGTGTATAAAATAAAATGTAAGGAGTACCCTTAATTTTTACAACCTAGGGACCATAAATCTTTGTGTTTGATCAGGGTATATACATATACAATGTTTTCAGACCATTTGATTGAGGAGGTCTACAAAGGGAGGCTCATGTTGAATCTCCCATTATTTTCTTCCCAATTTGCCTTCTAGTGATGAAAAAAATCGCAAGTGTGGAGATTTTACTCCTAGCAAGTGGTACTGCTGGACCTGCTTGTTGAACCTTGTGGCCTTGCTACCTACCACTGATTCTATGCCAACAGAATATTAATGAGTATATCCAGTGAAATACAGCTGCAAATTCATAGGCGTGACAAAAGTAACAGTAAAATCATTCTGTGAAATAGCCAAGTAAAAAGTGATCAATGATGCTGTACTCTCAAGTGATAATTTGATATGTTTAGCCAAATTCTTGCATGTATATACTGGAAATATACATATTGGTCTTTTCTACATACTAGAGACAATTTTTAAAAATTCTTTCCCTGTTGATGCTTATGTTATAGGGAGAAAGAAATTATTTTCTGGGCTTAGAGCCTACCTGGGATTTAGAATAGGTCTTTTTATCTGCTGGCTTAGAAACATCGATCTTCCTATCTAAAAAGGTACCACACAAGCTTTATTTCCTCTGTCCTGTCTCTAGCAATTTAGTGTCTACAACAGGGTGACCAGCAGTGGCTTGGGAATATCAGGTTTTCAGTAACAATTACATCTTTTCTTTCAGAAAAATTGAAAGGGAGAAGCAAAGTAAGCTCAGGATAAAGGGTCAATCATTAAGCCAGCACATTTCTAATTGCTGCCTACTGGGGCAAATACATCTCAACTGTATTACAATTACTTGGAAACCTGTTAGACATGTAAGAAAATTCTGTACTTCACCCTGAATCTTTTGTGTTTCACACAAAATCTTTAAGTGTGTGGTGTACTCATTTTATTTTGGAAAGAATTGTTTTGAAGTTGTGTTGTCCTGATTATAGAAGCCAGTAGCCACCTATGTTCAGTGAAGCTTCAGTTATATAAAACTAAAAATAAATGTGACTTGGATAACAAAAGACATCGAAGTGCTCAGTAGTCATGTGTGGGTAGTGGTGGCCTATTGGACAAAGTTGTGTTGTGCTGCTATGTGATAAAGGATTTCTTTTGAGGAGCTTCTGGTCAGGAACAGGGAATGGCAAATTACCACATGCCTAACAATGAGTAGTTGTACTTATAATACATAATAGAAATGAGGCAATTTTTAGGTCTGGTATACTTGCAGGTGTACTAAGGTATGTGAAATGCAGACTGAGAGTTTGAAAGAATTAATGTCCTTTTTGGGACATAAAAGTGATATTGTTTAACTGGTTGTGCTTGTTGCAAGGCCTTCTGATAGAATGTTAATATAGTAGTTTCACATTTGATTCCAAAAAACATCTCTCTTTCCTGTAGTCCTTGTGTTTTTTGCTCCTTGTTGGTAATTACTCTGCAGTCACTGTTCTTATGAAGTCTTTGAAATTCAGTGAATTTTGGATTGCTTAAACACAACCACTTTGGAATGATCTATTGAATGATACCTGTATCTTACTGTCATGTTTAGGGTTGTGGTGATGGGAGTTTACAGAAAATTGAAAGACCTGGAAGCCATAAACTAGATAGCTACCATTTATCTAACTTTTAAAAACATGTATAAAATAAATGGTTACAAACAATGGAGAGGATATTCTACTATTTTAGGATCTATTCAATTTCAGATATGAAGCAGAGAATATAATTCTTTCTGGAGATCTTCCCTATGGATATAATAGCTGAGGAGTTTCATCACTTCTAGTTTATAATCATGGGTGATTATAATCATGGGTGATCCAGACCTCAGCAACCTTGTCCTGAAAGAAGATAAGCATTTAGAATCCAAACAATAATATGGTAACTGTGTACAGCACGTTTTTCTTACATAAAGATGTGGAAAAAGACTTTGTTGGAGAAATTGAGTGTCAGTTGTTGGACTGTAGGAAGGTCAGAGATTTTCTATGGCAAAGTGGCAAAATGTTCTTAGCTCCATTGCCTTGTCATTAATTGAGAATCTAGTTATGGGACCTACTAGGACTACAGAGAAATGAAATGGTAATATGCACAAATTGAAAACATGTAGCTTACCTTGCTGAACAATTCCAAATATTTTTCAATTACCTCTATCATGACAATAATGATGGGCAAAATTTTAAATTTTTAAGAACCTGTTAATTGTATTTATAGGGTTACATACTATAAAGCTGTACATCCAAAAAGAAAATGTCTCATATAATGCTTGTAACCATGTGCTAACAAACTATCCTTTTCTTCAGATACCTATATAATGCTTCCAAAGAAATTTCTGAGTGCTAGTGATTCTATTACTGATTTCTGGTATAAAAGGTATTTGTGTTTTATGTTATATGACTGTCTCTCAGATGTCAAGAACTTGATTTCAGTGTTTACTACCCAAAAATGATTACTTCAAAATATTTTATTGTAATGGAGTTATATAAGTGTGGACACATGAAATCTTTAATGTTGATTATGCTACCTTTTTTTATATGAGAAAAACCTTCAAGTCATAATACACTCCTAAGTCAGAAAGACTAGATTTTTGGGAATAGATATACCTATTAAAAGAAATATAAAAGTAAGTGACCTTTATTATTTCTTTTTTAACAAAACAAATTCAGTTTAGTAGCAGAATATGTGAGAGAGAACTTTACTTTTGTGCTTATTTACCCAGTAAAAAACCAATTTTACCAGTTTTATTTTATTGCAAGCTAACAGAGCTGTTCAGCATTCATGTGTGCTTATCTTTTAGTCACATTCAGCCAACTTGGGCTATAACAGGGTAGTTTACATTTTAAATTTTACAACCACAGAGAATATTATAAGCCTTCAGAAAAAATATTTTCTTTCTAAATCCTATGTATTCATATTTTAAATTTGAAATATCATTTTGAAATACTAATATGTTGTTAAATAGGGCAATCTTCTCACCAAGTATATGTCATTAAATGTTTTACAGTTTTAAAGAAATGTAACCTGAACCTATGTGATGTCCTAAAATTCCAGGTTACACCTGCTAAAATGAAATGCTGTTGACTTTTCTTTACTTTTACTTTATTATTAGTATTATCACTTATTTTCTTTGTAGATCAGATTATTGATCTCTAATGCCATTCTAGATCAGAAAGTCATATTTAGAAGCAGAATGGAAGCGCCACTCCCTCATCTTTCTAAAAACGTTAAAATCGCTAACACAGGGGGGTCAACCCTATCTTACACACTGGTAAAATAAATGCTTTTTCAAAAAATCTGTTTTTCTCTCAATAATCATCCTGCTTGCAAGTAGAACTTTGCATCCCAGTGCCAATTCCTACAGCTCAGTGCAAACAGCTCGCAGGAGAGCTTGTGCTATTGCTTCCGCGAAAAAACCAATTTTTCCTATATATTTCAGTATAAACCAATTTATTTATATACTTTTGCGAAGATAAGAATGCGCAGAATACTGTTCGCAAAGAAAAGTTTCCCAACGAAGCAGAGAGAAATAGTATTTTTAAGGAAAACCTGAAAGTTGTCTCAATTTGACCGAACTTTGGAAGAGAGTTGGGGGAATCAGGGAAGTTTCAGGGAGCCAGTTTTGAAACTAGGTGTAGAAAATAAGGCATGAATGAAGCCTAAAGCCTCTCGGATCCGTTTCCCCCAAATTCCTAATTATTTCGTGACCAGATTTCTTTTATTTTTACTCTTTTTTAAGGGGCAACAAACACAGCCACAGGGAAGAGCGGAGGAGCTCTTCTCCAGCGGCGCGGCGCACAGAGCAGGGAACCAATCATCACGCAGCGTCTCTCTATATAAACCCCTAGTCTTCAGCGTGAGGAATACGCCGTTCTGACAGTTCTGAGCTTACTTTTCCTTTTTCTAGTGAGAGAGAAAGATGTCGGAGACTGCTCCAGTAGCTCCTACTACTCCCGCACCTGCGGAGAAAACACCTGTAAAGAAGAAAGCTAAGAAAACTGGCGCTGCTGCAAAGCGGAAGGCGACTGGGCCACCGGTGTCCGAGCTTATCACCAAGGCTGTAGCCGCTTCCAAGGAGCGCAGCGGGGTGTCGCTGGCTGCGCTCAAGAAGGCGCTAGCGGCCGCCGGCTACGATGTGGAGAAAAACAACAGCCGCATCAAGCTGGGGCTGAAGAGCCTGGTCAGCAAGGGCACCTTGGTGCAGACCAAGGGCACCGGCGCCTCTGGCTCCTTCAAGCTCAATAAGAAGGCGGCTTCCGGGGAGGCCAAGCCCAAGACTAAGAAATCGGGTGCTGCCAAACCCAAGAAACCAGCTGGGGCCGCCAAGAAACCCAAGAAAGCTGCGGGTGCGGCCACTCCCAAGAAGAGTGCCAAGAAGACCCCCAAGAAGGCGAAGAAGCCCGCCGCAGCTGCTGGCGCCAAGAAGGTGGCTAAGAGTCCGAAAAAGGTGAAAGCTGCCAAACCCAAAAGGGCTGCTAAGAGTCCAGCTAAAGCCAAAGCCCCGAAGCCGAAGGCTGCCAAACCGAAAGCTGCCAAGCCTAAAGTTACGAAGGCCAAGAAAGCGACCCCTAAGAAGAAGTGAACCTTCCAACAGGTCTTCGTAAATCTCAACGGCTCTTTTCAGAGCCACCCACGATATCAATTAAAGAGCTGATCACTTAAGGTTTACTTGATTGGTTCTCCTTGAGTAATTGGCTGACTTTCTCCCCAATGTTTTGCGGCACGTACGCGCATGGGTAGAAAATACTAGTGTGGCAGGTATGTTCTTCCAGTTTAGTAGCGGCCCTAGGTATTAGTCACAGTCCCTGGAAAACAAGCCAGCATAGTGAGGTGAGAAGATATAAAATAAACCATTGGTCTCACCATTATTGAACTATAAACTTTAGTGTGAGCGGTGAAGTCTAACCTTTCACATAAAGGTTACGCGCTCTGGTCGATAGCTGTTGGAAATGACCACTTTGGGCTAGAGACTGCATGACGCGAAGGTAGTGCGTATACTGGAATAACAGGATTTGGCGCGAAGTTTTTGGTTTTTCGCGCGTTGGGATTTTCAGTGTAAATTAGCCAATCAGAAGAATGGATGGTAGCCTCGGACTCTTATCCAAAGTGTTTTCTCATTGGCCCGCAAGGCTCTTGGCAGCCAATCATAATATTGATTTTGTTGCAGTGACATTGTCTCAGGGAACGTTACGTCAGAGACTATAAAGTATTAAGGGTTGTGTGTACAGGGGTGAGGTTGGAGAAACTGAAACCTCTGCCATTTTGTCTTGGTATGTGCGTACTGGCAAGCATGACAGGCGTGGATTTTTCTTTCCTCTGAAAGTTGGAAATTAAAAAAAATTTTTAAAAATTTTTGTGAGATTATTTGAATAACTGGTACTTGGGGTTTAATTTGGATGATTATCGCTTCAACCCGATGCTAAGGTATAAGAAATTCAAGGAGCATTCCAGTTACTTTGTTATCTAATGTCTTCTGTCTCCTAGTGCTTCCGCACCTGATGTTTAGGTGATCCAGGGAGCTGTGTTTAGCTGTTTCTCCCATATCTGTTTGGCGTGTGGACGATGGGAAAGAAAACTTGGTAGGCAGCATGGTTTGCAAGCAATGACAAAGAAGGAGTTGACTTGCATGGTCTCCCATTGTATTTCATCTTGAGGATTTTTAAAAATTAGTACAGTTTTTTTTTTTTTTTTTTTTTTTAATACCAGACATCGAATCCAGGGTCGCAAGCTTGCAAGACAGGCGGTTAGGCGGCTGAGCTAATGTTTATAAAATTAGTCATGAAAAGCACAGTTTTATTCACAACTCCTGATAGCATAGAAACTACAGATGTTTACTGGGCTCATTGGAGAAAAAATAAGTATTTTTACAGTCTAAGTGCAGACTGTCAGTCCTTTGTTATCTATAGCAGTAATTAATAACACTGGATTTCAAAAACAAAAAACCCCACTGAATTTCAAAGTACCTGTTAGTCTTAATAGTGATGACAAATGTTATCAGTTTTCTAGTAGTTTAGGCTTCTTCAAGTTTACAATTTGTGAGTCCTTTGTTGCAGGCAGCTGAGTTGGTTAGAAATACTATAGGCACTGAGGCAGGGCTAGATCCTCAAAGGAGCCAGTGTATAAACCCAGATACCTTGCAATTGTTGGGGAGACAGACAACTTCTGATGTGGGCCAGGCCTCAAGACAAAGGATCAAACAAATATATTCAAATCCTAAGGACTGATATTCTAAATAGTTTCCTACCTCCTGAGGATGCCTAGAGTCACCATTCTAACCCCCTGGGGAAGAGTCAAGGCTCTTTAAGAATGCCTGCTTTCTATGTGACTTATTTTCTGTTTTGTCTCCAATTTAATCAATTTTACCTGAACTACTAATCTCATTGGCTAACTACAGTTATGTCCCACCTTATGCCCAACTTCCTTGTGAGTTCCCAGTTTCCCCCACCTTGAACCCATCTTGCCCCCCCCCCCCCATGATTTTGCTCTATGAAAGTCCCTAGAAAAGACAGAGTCCTTGGTAACTCGCTTGGGACCCCTTCTGTCTCTCTTTCAGACAGAAGCTTTCTCTCTCTTAATAAATATATTCTGCTCTTAACCTCCGTAGTTCCTAAAATTCTTTCTTTCATTTTAGAGAACACGAACTCGCGGACATAGTAGGTTGAGAATTTCATTCCCCTATAGCAGTGATGACACATAGGTTTCTTCACGTTTACAATCTGTGAGTTCTTCACACTGACATTCCTTATTATATGTGGTGCTGGACATTTATCTGATACTAAAGAAGAAAATACATTGTTCATGAAAATTTTTGATAACTATTATTTTCCCTGTGTTCTTAAGAGTCCGTTTTGAGACAGTGTCCATAAACATTTCTGCAGACTATGTAGTACATAACCCAACATATGCCTTCAAATTTTGAGCAGCAGAATCCTGAAAAATCCCTCCTGATGGAAATGCCTCTTTATCTTCATTTGTTTTCTTGTGTTTACTTATTCTCTGAGGGTTTATTAAGTTTTGTACCTTATTTTCACCTATTATTTAAAATAGCTGGAGGAATGCGGCCAGGACTGTCTCTTTAGCTCTTTTAAGCAGGATTTCAAGTTTTTTGAGCCATTGCTGCATCTCATATTTTTTTGTTTGTAATGAAAGCTGGAAACCCCTCCTTTTATGAGAATGGCTTGATTGAGAAGGGTAATTGAAATCATCAGAAAACATATGAAATGGTAAAATGAGCATATATTTTAAGTAACAGATTTAAGTCACCCAGCAGTAAAAACAGATCAGGGAGGTCTGCAGTGCCCAGAATGTGAGACTTTTACTGAGGATGGGATACTTCAATCAATAAGAGCAATCACAGTTACATCTCTATTTTAGGGTTTTAAAGCCTTTCTATAAGTTCCTTATTTGGGTGTCACTATAACATTCAGTGTAATAAATGACATTCAGTGTAAATAAAATGATTATTTTAAAGTTGAGAAATTTTAGGCTTAGGAAGACTTTATGACCAGAAGTGAGCATTTGTTGTTTGTAAGTGAAATAGAGTTGGGTCTGTAACACAGGTTTCTTGATCCCTTGATTTTTCTTACATGATACGCAGTCTCTTGTAGAAAAGTGGTAGAACTTAGTTCGTTTGTAGGGTCATTGGACAAGAAGCAGTGTCCATATTTTGTTTGTTTTTTTTCTTTTTGGCTCATTGTGAGCCTTTCAGTTCCCAGACCACAAGGAATGCAAAAAAAAAAAAACCCCCCAAAACACAAAACCAAAAAACAAGTCTACGACCTTCCAGAATCTCCTTCTGACTTATGTCAGTTAGTATTTATGTTCTTCTACAAGCACTTCTAATAAGCACTTATTTTCAAGAGACGGAGAACTTTTAAAACGTTTTTGTCCATTTTCTATAATTTTTCAGCAGATAAATTGGGTCATGGTGACTTCCAGAGGATGAATGAGGCGAGACAGAAGATGGCATAGAAGATGTGAGGGACATTTTCGTATTCTCTTTCTTGATGGAGGGCACTTTTGTATAGGTATGACATAAAAGTAACTTACAGAACCAGCTGGCAGGCAATCCTTTGTTCCTTCTATGTACTGAGTATTTATAAGGCTCCAGTGGGATCTGATTTTTTGGGACCCCAACCTGCTTGCCAGTAGAGGCATTATTCTCAGCATGTGACTCAGTTCTGCACCTAGGCTTGTCATCTACAGACACAGGATAAATGAGGATACAGATAAGATAGGACAATGAATCTTGCAGGTCCCAGAATATATGGGAACATCTGGAGCCACCTGAAAATTTACACCAGATGCTTCAAGGACTTTGCTCACTGAGGTACAAGACAGCCAGAGAAATTTGATTACAGATATTTATTAAAATCTTACCACCTAATTTTTCTTGCCTTTTTTCAGTCCTTGTAAAAGGGACACACTTCTCTGTGTTCCCTAGAGATAGTCTTGCTGGCATTTGTCTGCCTGTACCAGGCACAATAAATTCCATGCCATGTTGCCTTTACACAAGCCTGGTTGTCTCAGGTGGTGTCTGCCCTTGTGCCATTTGTTACAATAATTGCCTGACTTCTTTTAAGTGGTGGAATTTTAGTTAATGTTATTGTGTGGAGGCCTTAATTTTTAAAAAAATTTTATTTAAAAAGAAAAAACAGAAAAATCAAGAAATAAACCTAAAAACAACAACAAAAACCAACAATAGCAGTATAGGTTTTCAAACAAGATGAATGATAGGAATTTAACAGCTGTTGTTATATTGCATATTGTTCTCTTTAGAATAGTTGCCCAAGTTACGAGATACAGGAATAAAGCAAAACAGTAAAACGAAAAGAAGTTGGATTTCAAAGACAAGACAGAAGGAAATCCCCCACAGTTGCCACAGTGCACACTGCCATCCTTCAAATAGAAGCCCAGACCAGCAGCCCCAGGCCTGCAGAGTCAATCAAGCAATACAAACATCAAGCTATTCCTTTCACCTCAGTTCCTATCATCTCATGCTGAGTTCCTCTGAATCAGCCAGTTGTTTACTGGGGTGTGGGTAAGGAGGTTGGGAGGATGTAAGGGTGCTACTCTTCTGGTTTCCCAGCTCAGGCACCCGCTGGCTCATGGGAAGGCATGGTTCAGCTTCTTGCTGAGTCTCTTTCGTTTCCCATGGTGAACTCTGGCTCTTACTTTTTTTTCAAAAACTCAGACTCTTCGTTTTCTTTTCTTTTTTGGTAGGGTCTTGCAATGTAGTTTAGGCTGACCTTGAACTCACTATGTAGCTCAGTCCGTCCTCCAATTCACTGTGATCCTTCCTGCATCAGCTTCCCCAATGGTCGGACTATAGGAATGCTCTGCCATGTCTGGTTCAGGTTCATATTTAAAGAATTCTCAATAAGTCTTGTGTTTTCTTCCCCGTGATCCTGCTTTTCTCTCAGCTGGGATGATTTTATTGCTTTGTATTCAGTTTCCTAACTCTAGTTTCTCTAGCTCCAACTCACATTCTGATCATTCTGCCGCAGCAAAACCAAAATATGCTTGATGAAATGATTACTGGCCCTGTATTGCTTTTGGGTCAAGTGAAAGATTGTGGTATTATTTCATGATTGTGTCTTGTTGCTCACATTGATAGGCACTAATAACAAAACAAATTACTTTTTGTTTCTATTATATTTCACCCCCAC